TACGTGTCGCAAAACCGCTAGAAATCCCGAAATAAAAACCAAGTGCAACCATTGTTTCATATTGAACTTAAAAGATGAGAACAAATACTGGATGTTTAGGTATAACCACATTCGCTAATTATGTTATGATTGCATGTTTGCTTCATTTATTTTGGCCTACTAGTTCGTATAGAAAATTCTTCCATGATGAGTCCGGGTACGTTGTTTTAAGTGAATATATCTTCGAGAGCTTTGAAGAGTTTTTAGAAAGTGATTATGTGTAAGTACAAGAGAAAAACAATTTTAGCACGCATCGACGCATGGATCGGACTGAGTCACAAGAAATTCACGACCTGGAGAAGTTGTTGTTTGAAACAGAGGATTCCGATATAGATGTCCCAGAAACTGACGCAAGCAATCCCCTTCTTTCTATATGATTCAATTTTTATATGGTTTGTACAGAAGATGCATAAAGTTTAATTCAGTGGTTTTTTCTCTCGTAAATATGTGGAAAAAGGCTAAATGATTGTTCAGTCTTTCAATTTTGAGCCGCCCCGCATTCGATCAGAATCGGCGAGGTGCTTGAATGCGAATGAGCGTAACAACTGAATGCTGTCACCTTTCTAGAAGGCTGGGACTGTAACTAACTCTTATGCAGGAACAATTGAAATGAGATACTAGTTCCTTTCTACTCCTTGGTAGGCTCACTTGTTGTTGATATTGAAAATCGGTAAAAATCAAAAAAAGGGAATTCATAAGATTTGAAAAGTGCTGTAGCCTGGTATCACCCAAACTCCCCATTTCGGCCGCTTTATATTGCGCTTTCTTCGAAAAAAAATCTGCAAACACCACTGCCGTTCACCTGTAATTTGCAAAGAAAGCAAGAATACAGACAAAGGCTTATACATTCATCCCAACATAAGGTTTCATTATTATATGCTCAACGCTAACAAATTGAGAAAAGTATCCTTCTTGTTTCACGTCAGGTATGTTAATTGCAAAATTTGTCTCGCACCAGATAACACTTTAGGTGATTTAATTAAAGTTCCTTTCTGGAATGTATACTTTGCTAATCCTGAAATGTTCACTATGATTGTCTTACTGTTCTACCCTCATATTCAAAGTCTGTATGTATGTATGTCAATGGTAGTTGGTTCCAATAATCGGTCAGTGCGTGACTTGAGGGCATTGCTGACACCGGCCGCAGATTGTTGATGAATAGGCGAGAATTTAAAAACGGCTGAATTCAAGTCATTTTGTCCAGTCAATATGGATCTTTACAATAGTTTTACCATAACACTGTCTAGTATTCTATTTGAGTTTGGATTCCTGCTCCTACCAAAGGAACACCTTTGATGATATCGAGAGTTTCTCAAAAAAGTGGTCTTTGTCTGATAATTAGCAAATTTCATCTATTCCCAGAACTTTTGAGAGCCTATATATTTAATTTTGATGGATCACATTGATTTAAACTTCTAATTATAGGTGGATAT